CTCCCAAGCTGCTGGGATTACAGATATGTGCCAACCATTCCCGGGTCACCTGCTCCCATTTTGTCAGTTCAGGTTCATCCTATTGACACCCTCAGCTAGCATTTTGGACCATGAAAATATAGAAGGGATAATCCTGAGATCCTTTTTCCAGGGATGTAAACCATACATACAAATTAAATGCCTCAATGAAGATAAATGCCTCAAAGTAGGTTCCAGTGGTTTTGGAATCTACTTTTCTATGTTGACAATCCTGTTGTCTGTGAATAAGGAAGGTTTTGTTTTTCTTTTTAGTTTTTATGCTTTTTCTTGTCTTACTGTATCAGCCAGGACCTCTCATACTCAGCATATTTTGGACATTTTTTGCATCATCTCTGACTTTAAAGATTTCCATTTGTAGTTTGAAAAGATTTGACTTGTGGATTGGGTTCACTTTATCTTTTTTTTTTTTTTTCCAGTACTGGGGTCTGAACCCATGCCTGTAATCTGAGGGACTTGGGAGGCTGAGGCAGAATAATTGCAAGTTTGAGATCAGTCTGGGCAATTTAGTGAGACCCTGTCTCCAAATTAAAAATAAAAAGGGGGGGCTGGGGATATGGCTTAAGCGGTAGCGCGCTCGTCTGGCATGTGTGCGGCCTGGGTTTGATCCTCAGCACCACATACAAACAAAGATGTTGTGTCCGCCAAGAACTAAAAATAAATATTAAAAAAAAAATTTTTAAATAAAAGAAAAATAAAAAGGTCTGGGGATGTAGCTCAGTGGTAGAGCACTTACCATGTGCAAGGCCCTGGGTTCATTCCCTAATACCACAACAAACAACAGCAACAACCCAGGACAGACAGATAGATGTGTGCAGGCTAGGCCAGGCCAACAAGTTTGCCATCTTTGGCTAAGGTATCATTATTTCCACTTTACATAGGAGACTGAGGGGGTAAAGGGACCTGTCTCAGGAGTATCTCTGAGATCTTTGAGAGCTAGGCCATGTCTTCCCCTCTGTGTTCACAGATGATTGCAGGGGAGACAACAGTTACCCAGTGCTCTGTAAGCACTTAGCGACAGCTGTTTTTTGAGTTCTTAGGAAACTCACTATGTTAGTTAGAAATAACCGAATGGCAGAAAATTCTAGAATAATGGAAAGATAAGAATGAGACTTCTCTCTGTCGTAAGTCTGGAGGTACACAGCTCAGACCTGGTGTCGTGGCTTCACAGTCTCAGGGACAGGCTGGAGCCAAGCAGACCGGATCCATCCTCTGTCACACTTCACCTTCACACCTGCATGAAGGAAAGGCCACTTCATCTCGCCCAGCTATAGTGAGATAGGAGGTTCTACCAGGTGCTCACGAAACAGAAATGCAACTCAAACAGGGATAAGTATCTTCAATCTCAGTTCAAACATTAGCTTTGATGTTACAACAGTGATCATCAATGGCCCCTCAAATATGTTTTGGCCTTGATTACAAGGGCAGCATTTTATACATGCTTAAGTGTATTCATTTCTAAAATGTGAAAACGTTTGAGACAGGGTCTCGCTGAATTGCTGAGGGTCCCAAACTTGGAATCATCTTGTCTCAGCCCCCTGAGTTGCTGGGATTACAGGCATGTGTCCCCATGCCAGCTGGGAGTTTACTTCTTTTTGATGAAATAGCACAGAATTTGGCCGGCAGGCAGCGTAGGCAGCTAATTGTATGTTGCAAGGTTGTCAGGGGCCCAGGTTTCTTCTATCTTGATCTTCCATATGTAGACTTTAGTAGGATGTTTTTGGCCTGCACGTGTCAGAAAACTCAACTCTAAATGATTCACCCAGCAAGATGATTTGTTATTTAATCTTGAGTAATTTCTAGATAGGTGACAGGGTTGGCTAACTTAATGACCCAGACATGCTATCAAGGAACAGGTTTCCCCAACTTTCCCCTGTACCATTCTCAGTACGTCCTCTGGCGAACTCTCCTCACAATTCCACAATCCAGGAATCCCGAGAAGACATGACAATATTTACTAGCAGATAAAGGATGATTTTCTGCACTGTTTTTTTTTTTCATTTTAGGTTGACACAATATTTTTATTTCATGTTTATGTAGTGCTGAGGATTGAACCCAGTGCCTCATGCATACTAGGTGAGCGCTCTACCACTGAGCCACAATCCCAGCCCCTCTGCACTGTGTTTTAAAAAGAGTGTTTAAAACCTTTCCCCAAAGTCTCTGAGTAGACTTCTCTCCCTGCCTCCTTGGCCGGACTTTGATTGCCTATGACTAGCTCTGTAACTGGTAAGGGTAATGGGCCCACAAAGCCTATCTCAGACCAATCATAACTAGTGGAGCTGGGACTGGGGCTGGGGCCACCTTCTCTAAAACAAATGCATAACGGACAAGGTCAGGGTCTGTTAATTGGGATGGAGTAGAGAACAGTTGTTGGGTAGGCCGACACCTGGGTCTACCATATATTGCTACCTGATATATTTTTTTTTTCTTTGGTACCAGGGATTGAACTCAGGGGCACTTGACCACTGAGCCACATCCCCAGCCCAATTTTATATTTTATTTAGAGACAGAGTCTCACTGAGTTTCTTGGTACCTTGCTTTTGCTGAGGCTGGCTTTGAACTCACTATCCTCCTACCTCAGCCTCCTGAGCCACTGGGGTTTTAGGTGTTCGCCACCACGCCTGACGCTCCTTGCTATTTTTTAATGGTTTCCTGGTACAGAGAGCTTTCCAGTCAGAGTGCTGTAGTACAGTGGGCTCTGCAAATGGGAGTACCCAAAATAGTGATTCCCTCACATTCAGGGGCAGCCAAAAGGGGCCTGGGTAGCTGGAATGCCCAGGCTTGTTGCTTTTGCATAGTAGCCTTTTCTGTTTACCCTGGTGGGCAGTGCCGTTTGAAACATTCTCCCATGATTTTTACTTTTTTTTTTTTTTTTTTGATACCTGGGATTGAATCCAGGGGTGCTTAACTACTGAGCCACATCTCCACCCCCTTTTTGTATTTTATTTAGAGATACTGTCTCGCTGAATTACTTAAGGCCTTGCTAAATTGCTGAGGCTGGCTTTGAATTCGTGATCCTCCTGCCTCAGCCTCCAGAGCTGCTGGGATTACAGGCATGCACCACCATGCACGGCTTCTCCTATGATTTTTAAGAGGTATAAAGGTTGGAGCTAGCCATAGTGGTGCACGCCTTTAATCTCAATGACTTGGGAGGGTGAGGCAGGAAGATTACAAATTCAAGGCCAGTCCAGCAACTTGAGGAGGCCCTACGCAATTTAGACCTCATCTCAAACAAACAAGCAAGCAAACAAATAAACAAATGGGCTGGGGAGGTAGCTCTGTGACAAAGTTCTCCTTTGTTCAATCACCCCCTTTTGCGTGTGCAGGTTAGAGATTTCTATTAGACACCCAAGTGGAGATGTCAAGTAGGGGGTTGGATGTTCGTAGATGGAATTCAGGGGGGAGTTCTGGGCTGGAGATGTGAGTTTGCGCGAATACAGATGACATCCACAGCCAAGACCCTGGAAGGGAGCAGGAATGAAGTAAGAGAAAAAGAGGGAGAGGGTGGAGACTGAGCCCTGGGATGCTTTAATAATAAAAGAGAAGGGGCCAGCCAGGAAACTGAAGGGAGAGGGACTTCCTGGACACCACATTAAGAAAATATGTCAAGGGAGGGAGTAATCTGCCATGTTCAATGCTGAAGGCAGGCTAAATGAGGGGAGAACTGGAAAGTGACCAAGGGACTTAGGAAAGAGGAGGCCACTGATTTGTTGACAAGGGAAATTCCAATGATGAGGTAGGGAGTGAAAATCCTGAATTTTGGGGAAAGGAATAGGAATCCACAGGCAAACCTCTTTAGGAGTTTTGCTGTAAAGTGAAGCAGAAAAAGAGGGTACAGCTGGAGAAGTGGTTCGTATTTATTTTTTTCATTCTGTTGGAGGGATGAACCCAGGGCAATCACTCTACCACAGAACTATAATCCCACCTCTCACTGTTTTTTTTAATAGAAGAAATGAAAACATTCGCTATACCAATGGGATGATGAAAAGGAGATGGAAAACGATGATGCAGGAGAAAAAGGGGGCAAATGTTGGGCTTATGTATTTGAGAAAATGACAGTGTGTAAGAATAAGTGTAGAAATAGGTTTTAGTAGGCAATTAATACATAGTTAAGAAAAGGAGGCTGCAGGTATGGCTTAGGGATGCAGTGCTTGTCTAGCATCTGTGAAACCCTGGGCTTGATCCCCAGCAACACACACACACACACACACACACACACACACACACACACACACACACACAGAGTTAAGAGAAGAGAGGCAAGTGGGAAGGTAAATGAAACGTGACTTTGTGTTTACTATTTTTCACAATTTTCTTAGTAAAATTGGGAGTGAGGATGAGGGAGAAAGTGATGGAAGTTCGATGAGAGTGGAGAAATATAATTTTTTAGAATTGCGGGCGGGGCAAGGTGAGAGATATTTGAAACCGAGCTGCGATGAATGCGGGGTGTGCTATTAGCTTGCGCGATTAGTTCCTCTAGGCACTCCGTAGTCGGTTTCCTTGGAAACCGAGACGCGCGAGCGCGAGAAAGCACCCTGTCTGTGGGAAATTTGATTGGCTTGGGTTGCTGCGATCTGCTCCAGATAAAAAAGCTGGAGAAGCCGAACAGGCATCTCAGAGATAAAGGACCCACGGACTCGGGACTCTACACTTTTCCCCAATGGAGTACGACTTTCAGAAGTAGAAAGGAGCGGGGTGGCGGCGGGGGTGGACTGCGCATGCGCATCCCAGTCGCTAACCCCGCCTTCTCCTTGAAGGGCCCAAGTCCTCTGGCCACGCCCCCACCCCGCCCACACCTGAGAGCCCCGCCTCGCTCGTTCTGGCGGTCTCCCAGCTGTGCTCCGCTGTGGTACCTGGTCCCCTGCGGTTGTGGGGTGGAGACTGCACACCAATTTCAAGTGTGTTGCATACTCCTCCTTGGGCTGGGGATGATGGAAGTTCTTTCTTTCTCCAACTCTTTCCAGATCTAGCCAGAATGGGAGTCAGTCCAAACCCAAGTCCCACGTTCTGGTGAGTCCGGGAGGGCTAGGCGGGAAGGGGGGGTTTACGATGCTGCAGCCCGCCTGCCTTCACCTCCCACGGCTGGGACTGCCCGCGTGGTAGGGTCTGGAGACCTGAATTCCGGTCTCAGCTGTGTCACACTTTTGCTGTGAGACCCTGAGCAAGGCTCTGAACCTCATTTTTCTCTAGTCACTACTTTATCAGAATGTAAGGGTATATTCCTGTCTGCTCTTCTGTTCCCTAAGAGGTGGGTATTGGGTCTTCCCATACATTCTGTTTCTTGGCACCTCACAACCTGGATATGCTTAGTAAATTCAGGCTGACCCATAAAATTTATGGAGCACGCACTACGAGCTTTAAGAATATCATCTCTTAGAATTCTTGCATCAACCTATAGTTAGGTTGTGTTATTAGGTCCGCTTTGCCAATGAGGAAATTGAGGCTCAGAGAGCTAACATCACTTGCTCGAGGTCATGGATACCTATAAAGGGTGGAGTGAAACTTGAATTCACCGTGCTGTGTGACTGATTGTGTTTTGTCTGGTTGCATTGGGTTCCATGGCAGTGGTCTACGCAGAAAACCAAGCCATCTACTCTACCTCCACTTGGACAAGCCAGCAACCACGCTAAAAGAAAAACGAAGAGTTTGATTAAAGTCCAATCAGGTGAGCAGAGGCACTTGGGGGTTGGTGTGGGTAATGGGGACAAATTAAAGTGGCTGCTCTTGGCCCTTGGTGACACTATTCATATTAAGTTAGGCTCACTGATGTAACAGACAACTTCCAGATTTCAAGTATTAATACAGAAGCTTATTTCTTATTAATGTCAAAGCGCCTTTGAAGATCCGAGGAGAATCTATTCCATGTGGTCTTCTGTTCTCCTTGACCTTGAACCTCTGATATTTTATGAGGCTTTGAAGTCGTCTGTAGGATATTTCTGTGTCTAGTTGGTAGAGAGGGAAAGGAGAGGGCAAGAACTTGAATGGTTTTGTGGGTAGTTGTTTTAGGGGCCCAGACATGAAGTGACCTGTTTCCACACATGTCTCAGAGCCATAACTCAGTTACATGACCCCTAACCATAAGAAAAAATGGGAAATGCAGTCCAGCTGTGTGTCCAGGAGGGAGGAAAAGACAGGGTTTGGTGAACCCATGGGATCATCTCTGCCATATTGTTGTCATGCTTTCCAGGAAGTTTTGAGGCTTGGGATCAGACAGGTGTAGGTTCAGATCTTGACTTTGAAATTTGCACATTTGGAAAGTCACTCATCTCATTGAGCCCCAGGCTTCTCATTTGTGGAATGGTGACACCAAAAGTTTTGTATTAAGAATAACCATGTAGAACATTATTGCTCAGCCTCATCACACCCAATATTCCTTTTAATAACAGATGTTTTGAAATTTTTCTTTCTTTTTTTTTTGGTACTGGAATTGAACTCAGGGGCACTTGACCACTGAGCCACATCCCCAGCCCTATTTTGTATTTTATTTAGAGACAGGGTCTCACTGAGTTGCTAGGCCCCTCGCTGTTGCCGAGGCTGGCTTTGAACCTGCCGTCCTCCTGCCTCAGCCTCATGAGTTGCTGGGATTACAGGCATGTGCCACCATGCCTGGTTTGAAATATTTCTTGAGTATCCTGATTGAACTGCATACTTGTTAAAACCTACCTGTGCACACCTGCATGTACAACTGCTCACACCTCCTCACTGCCCCTGAGTGAGGAACAGAAGGTCAGTTCCCTGGGGCAACACTGATTGTCTACCACCTTGTGCCTTATTGATGCTGCCCGGGGGTAGAGGCTCAGGTTCCCACTGGGCTCTGCTGACCTGTGGGCAGAGGGAGGGAGTGAAGCTCAGAGGTGACAAGTCTTACCTACATCACTTTTTTCAGTCTCCTTAGTACTAGGTGGGAGTAGAGGCTAGAATTCCTGCTGGACCTTGTGATGTTACCCTCAGTCAGCACCAAAAAACCTGCTTCTGCCATGCTGGGGTTAGAAGCTCAGTTGCCCAACCAACTCTGAATGAACCTCACCTTTCCCAGACCTGTGAACCTCAAGTTAAGTCTCGCTACTTAATAAAAAAATTAACTCAAAATATAAATGTAGAAATGCATAAAAATTAAATGTAAAACATAAAATGTTAACCTAGAAAAAGGCAGGAGAAAACAATCTTTGGAGCCTGTGGCCAAGTGAAGAATTCTGGACACCACACCAGCAGCGCAGTTTATGAACTGAAAAATGAAAAATGGAAGTGGCCTTCATCGAAATGAACAATTTTTGTTCTATGAAAAAAATAATTTTTTAACCTTTATTTCATTTATTTTTATTTTTGTGTGGTGCTGAGGATCAAATCCAGGGCCTCACATGTGCTAGGCAAGTGCTCTACCACTGAGCCACACCACCAGTACCCCCCACTTTTTCATGGTACTGAGGATTGAACCCAGGGACGCTCTGCCCCTGAGCTGCATCCCCAGCCCCTCATTTTATTCTTTATTTTTTATTTTGAGACAAAGGGTGTTGCTAAGTTGCCCAGGCTGGCCTCCAATTGGTAACCCTCCTGCCTCTGCCTCCCAAGTCACTAATATTACAGGCATTTACCACTGTGCTGGGCTTAAAAAAATCCTTTTACGCGAATGAAAAGACCACCTACAATTCTGGAGAAGATATTTGCAAACCATGTATCTATAAAGGACTTGTATTTGGTAGACTATTATCCAGAACTCTCAAAACAGTAAAATAGCTGGGTGCGGTGGCGCAAGCCTGTAATACCAGCAGCTCGGGAGGCTGAGGCAGGAGGATCACAAGTTCAAATCCAGCCTCAGCAACGGCAAGGCTCTGAGCAATTCAGTGAGACCTTGTTTTTAAATAAAATACAAAACAAGGCTGGGGATGTGGCTTAGTGGTTGAGTGCCCCTGAGTTCACTCCCTGGTACCTATTGCCCTTCCCCCCAAAAGGATCCCAGTAAAATAGACATTTCAATTAGACAGTTGGCAAAAGATGTGAAAAAACATTTCACCAAAGAGGATTTGCTGATAGTAAATAAGCACATGAAAAGATTCTCAACATCATAGCCACTAGGGAAATGCAAATGAACCACAATGAAATATCACTGTGTACCTATCAGAAGGGCTAGAATAAAAATAGTGAATACATCAAATGCTTATGAATGAGGAGAAACTGGATTGGGCATAAATTGTTGGTGGGGCTATAAAATGGCTCAGGAAATGAGTATGGTAGTTTCCAACACAATTCAGCATGCGATTTCCGGATGACCCAGCAATTGCACTCTTGGGAATTTATTCCAGAAAATTGAAAGCCTATGTTCACACAAAAGCCGGTCCATGAATGCTCGTGTCTTAGCATCCTTATTCATAATCCTGCAGTCTGGGTTGGACATCTCCAAGCCCAGATGTCCTTCCACGGGTGAGTGTGTCGTCCAACGAAGGGGGCTCTGTTCCATGGACTACCGTGCAGCAGTCACCAGGAGGAAGGATGATGCCTTCAGCAACCTCCATGACTCTCCAGAGAGTTCTGTTGAAAAAGCCAACCAAACTTTCCATGTTGTATGATGCCACTTATGTAACATTGTGGGAATGACCCTCTTATAGAAATGGAGAGCGGATTAGTGATGGCCAGGGGTTAGGGACAGAGTTGGTGGCGGGTGGAAATGGGAGGGAAGTGGGTGTGGTTATGAAAAGCAGCAGTTGGGACCCTCCTGGTTATGGAAGAGTTCTGTCTGTATCTTCATGTCCATATCCTGTTTGGGATATTGTACTGTATTTGTTCAAGATGTTTGTTGCCATTGGGAGACTGGGTAGAGTGCACAAAAGATCTCTCTTTTTTATTTCTTAAAACGGCCGTGTTGGGCTGCAGCTGTAGCTCAGTGGTAGAGGGCTTGCCCAGCATGTGTGAGGCCCTGGGTCTGATTCTCAGCACCGCATGTGAATCAATGAATACAATAAAGGACCATCAACAACTCAAAAACAAAAACAAAAACAAAGCTGCCATGTCACACACCTGTAATTGTATTGACTCAGGAAGCTAAGACAGGAGGATTGCAAGTTAGAGGCCAGCCTCAGCAGTTAAGTGAGGCCCTAAGCAACTTAGAGAGACCCTGCCTCAAAAAAATTAAAAAGGGCTGGGATGTGGCTCAGTGGTAAAGCGCCCCTGGGTTCAATCCCCAGGACCAAAACAAACACCTCTCCAAGGCCCCCCCACCAAAAAAAAAATCCCCAAACCCCAAACAAGCATGTGAATCTGAATTTATCTGAACATAAAAAATTTAATTAAAAAAGATAAGTCATGGGGCTGGGGATGTAACTCAGCTGGTAGAGTGCTTGCCTCGCATGCACAAGACCTGGGTTCAATCCCCAGCACCACACACACACAAAGATAAGTCATGGCTACTTAGTAGTGATAAAAATAAGCAAATAAGTATTATTAAATCTACAAATCTTCCTTAAGCATTTAGGAAGATTTAGAATCTTATAATTTTTATAAACACTTGTAAGAGGGATTTTGGAACTTGGTTAATTAAATTTCCCTAAACCTTTTAAGCCACATTAAAAAATTTAGTATTTTCATTTTCAAATAGTTCACGCGTGTGACTAACAAAAACCATTGGGTATTTAAGTAATTCTTGTGTATCTAATAAACAAACTTCTAGATATGGGTAATGTTATGTTCTCTTGAAAGTTTCTGTAATTTATACACATTTAATTAGAGTGTCTTCTACCTTTTAACTTTAAGGCAAAAATCTCATTTATACCTTTAAGATTGGAATCATAGGATTTAACCTATTAGTAATTTTGTCCCTTAAAAATACAATTAATTCCCAGATATGTACAGATAATTCATACATTTGACAGAAAATTAATTTACTTCATGATTTCAGTTCTTTTTTTTGTTTTTGGTAGTTGAACACAGTACCTTTATTTATTTATTTATTTATTGATTGATTGATTGATTGTATGGTGCTGAAGAGCGAACCCAGGGCCTCACATGTGCTAGGCAAACCTCTACCACTGAGCCACAACCTCAGCCCCTTCAGTTCTTAATTTTAAAATATTCTAAGATTAAGGATCTTAATCTTTTCTGGGCTTTTTTAAAAAAATATATATTTTTAAAGATATGATGGGCCTTTATTTTATTCACTTATTTATATGCAGTGCTAAGAATCAAATCCAGTGCCTCACACATGCTAGGCAAGCGCTCTACCACTGAGCCACAACCATGGCCCTTTTCTTTCTTTTTTTTTTTTTGAGAGAGAGAGAGAGAGAGAGAGAATTTTGTTTTTTTAAAGAGAGAGTGAGAGAGAATTTTAATATTTATTTTTTAGTTTTCGGCGGACACAACATCTTTGTTTGTATGTGGTGCTGAGGATCGAACCTGGGCTGCACGCATGCCAGGCGAGCGCGCTACCGCTTGAGCCACATCCCCAGCCCCGACCATGGCCCTTTTTTGGGCTTAAAAAAAAATATATATTGTTTTGGTGCTGAGGGATTTGAACGCAGGATCTCATGCATGCCAGGCAAGCACCTGACCAGTGAGCCCCATCCCCAGCCCAGGATCTTGAGTTTTTTAAATAAATAATTAATCATTTCCCCAAATGAACTGGGTTGTACCTGGAATAGAGGTTTTGGTGGAGACTGAGAAAGGAGCTGTAGCCATCTGGGTGGTTTGTCAAGTGTTAGTTCGAGACAGGCTGCAGGAAAGCAGGGAGCCTAAGGACCTGCCCTCCAAATGCCTTTATTCCCTGAAGGGAGGACTGCAGCTTGTACAATGCCTTGTCTGATGCTGTGGTCCCAGTTACCAGGTCACTGGAAATAATAATGTGCCCAGCGTGGAAGGCGTGACAGGCACTGCCCTAACACCTTAAAGCACAGTAAGTTAGTTAATCTTCAAGACAACTCCAAGAGGCAGGCATGACGATGATTCCCATCTCACAGATGGAGGAACCCAGGGACAGAGAGGTCTTGTGACCCCTTGGGTCATAGAGCTCTTAGAAGGCTCTGTCTTCTTCAATAGTTCTTCATTTTTTTGGTGGGGAGTACCGGGGCTTGACCTCAGGGGCACTCGACCACTGAGCCACATCCCAGCCCTGTTTTGTATTTTCTTTAGAGACAGTTGAGTTGCTTAGCGCCTCACTTGTGCTGAGGCTGGCTTTGAACTCAGGATCCTCCTACTTCAGCCTCCTGAGCCTCTGGGATTAGGGGCGTGCACCACTGTGTCCGGCCCTCAATAGTTCTTCTTTACTCCAAACTCACCTGGCCTGTTCCATCAGCCAGGTTGGTGAGAGACCAGGTGTTCAGAGCTGGGCCACCAGGCTCTGGTCTCCGGCTGTGCCCAGCTGCATCAGCAACTGGCAGAATACAAAAAGGGGGCGTTTCCAGCTCATTCTACCTGGAAGCCTCAGAGTGGCCGTCTGCGTAGTGCAATCAACTTTTCATAGAATACAGTGTTCTCTGGGAGGATGGACCTTCTTTCTTTCTTTCTTTCTTTTTTTAATATATATTTTTTGGTTGTTGATGGACCTTTATTTTATTTATTAATATGCGGTGCTGAGAATCGAACCCAGAGCCTCACAAGTGCCAGGCAAGTGCGCCACCACGGAGCCCCAGCCCCAGCCCTAGACCCTCTTTCTTTCCATATGTCTCCAGCGACCTACTACCAGCCCACGGTGGTGACGACATACCAGCCCAGGGAGCCAGAAGATTCGCACCTGAAGGACAAGTTCAACTCTAGGAAGATTCAGGCCAAAGTCCGGTTCATGAGGGTATGAGGGGGTCTCTCCGCAGGCCCCTGGCCAGGGACGGGCACCGAGGAGGCTCAGCGACCAGCTCCGAGCACCTCAGGGGCAACCCCCGCACCCCCCCCACTCCAATCACTCCTGTTTTACAGGTGGGGACACTGAGGGACAGGAAGGTAAATGACTTGCAGCATGTCACACAGCAAGAAAATGGCTTCCCAGGGGTCAAAGTCAGTTAAGCTAAGCGCTGGCTCTTGTGATGAGACTCAGGGAGACAATCAGAATCACCTTTTATTTTGGTGCATTAGGAACCCCATCGAGTGGCTTTTTAAGGAATTTCCCGTATGTTAACCTCATGGGAACAGGGAACACTGAGGCGCGGCTTAGAAGCTGACCCTTAAGATGTCCAATCAGCTGATAGCATGGTCATTGATTAATATTCCCATCATAGACTGTTTGGTGGCTTCTTTTGTTATCTGAACAGCATTTCAAAGTATTTGAAAATGACTGGAGAAAGAGGAGTCTGCAGTATTCACAGCAGAAAGGGAAACACTGTTTTATAAATAGTACAAAATACTGCAGAAAAATTCTTTTTTTTTTTTTCTTTTTCTTTTTTGGTACCAGGGATTGAACCCAGGGATGCTTAACCACTGAGCCACATCCCAGCCCTTTTTATATTTTATTTACAGACAGGGTCTCATTGTTGCTTAGGGCCTCACTGAGTTGCTGAGGCTGGCTTTGAACTTGCAGATCTCCTGCTTCAGCCTCCCAAACCTTGGATTATAGGCGTACAACACCATACCTGGTTAGAAGAATTCTTACTTCTTCAAGATTTTTTTTTAATAGTTAAATGATGACTATAAAAGAAGAGGGAAAATGTATTCGTTTTAAAACCACTTTTTGCACTTTAGGCTTCAGTTTTGCAAAATTGTTTAGAGGGGGCCCAGCATTCTCAAAAAGGAGGTTCATAGTTTCTGATATTACTTTTATCCTGACTTTATAAAGGTTTATTGTTTTTGTCTGACACTGAATGTGAATTTAGACAATTTGGCTGTAAAACTTGGGCTCCTAACCAGTTGATAACACTGTCTCTCAATACTTTCTCATTCATTTAGTCAAAACATATTTATTGAGCACCTGCTATGTGCCAGGCCCTGTTCTGAGTACGAGGACCACCAGTGATGTGGCCTCTGACCTTAGGGAACTGACATTCTCCTGGGGGACACAGATGATAACCAGGGTGGATACGTGATGTGTTGTGATGATGAAAGCTATGAGGAAGCATGAGAATAAGATTAGGGGGCTGGGCACAGTGGCACTCACCTGTAATCCCAGCGGCTCAGGAGGCTGAGGCAGGAGGATTGTGAGTTCAAGGCCAACCTCAGCAACAGTGAGACCTAAGCAACTCAGTGAGACCCTGTCTCTAAATAAAATACCAAATAGAGTGGGGATGTGGCTCAGTGGTTGAGTGCCCCTGAGGAGGAAGCAGGGGAAGCGCAGAAGTTGCCCAGGTGACTTGTTTTTAGAGCTAGGTTTTCAGCTGTCTTGTCCCTCAGCATCACCAGGGCGATTAGTCATTCCATCCAGTGGAATGTGCCAGTGTTGGGATGCAGCCATCAACAAGGAGCTGAGATTTGTGTGGCCACGGGGCTGATCCTTTTCCTGGGAGCCATAATAAATGAATTCAAGGCCCCATAGAATAGTTGCCCATTCACTTACCCTACTGCAGGCATGGTTTACACGCTGGTGACACAGCTGTGACAAGACAGAGCCCCTGCCCTTCAGGCCGTGATATGCCACGAGAAGGAGACAAGCAAGAAGAGAAAAAGAAAAGGTCATGTCAGGTGATAAGTCCTAGGAGGAAGATCAGCTGGGAAAGGGGAAGACAGAGTTAGGAGTCGGGTCACATTAGTGCAGATTGAGATAAGAGTCAGAGAGAGAGAAACTGATCTGCCTTAGATCTGGCGGTCAGAGAGATCCTTTCTAGAGCAGTCATTGCATTCTGTTTCCCAGGCTCACTCGGGAGTGGGGTGTGTGATAATCATGCAGATTGCTGTGGCCAGCCCCATGGCGCAGGCTCAGTGGCCCGGGACTTGGAGATTGATGTTACTCCAAGACCTTGGTGGATACTTGGGTCTGGAGATGGGGAAGCAAGACAGCCGAGTGGCTAGCTGCCCAGACTTGGAGGACAACAGCCCTGCTATGTGTGACCTTGAGTATGTTACTGAATCTGGTCCTCGGGTTCCACTTTGTAAAGTGGGGCTAATAATAGTCCCCATCAGGGTCACTGTGGGGTGGGTGGCATGAAGTGCTGGCCTCACCCCAGACATTAGCATTATTACTGTTGTCATACAGGAGCTGAGGGCCAGGAGGGGCAGAGAAAGCAGGAGGAAAAGAAGGACTTGGAAGGAAGCCGGTCATGGTGACGCACGCCTGTAATCCCAGCAGCTCAGGAGGCTAAGGCAGGAGGATCATGAGTTCAAAGCCAGCCTCAGCAACATCGAAGTGCTAAGCAACTCAGTGAGACCCTGTCTCTAAATAAAACACAAAATAGGGTTGGGGGTCTGGCTCAGTGGTCAAGTGCCCCTGAGTTCAATCCTCAGTTACCCCCTTCCCCATAAAGAAGGACTATAAAATAGAGCAAAGGTTGTGCCCGGGTGGAGGCCCAGAGACCGCGATCAGTACTGTTCACTGAGCGCATCTGGGCCCTGCCATTAAGTGACTTGACTGTGAATTTATCTTCTTTCTTTTTTTTTTTTTTGGGGGGGGGAGGGTGATTGGGGATTGAATCCAGGGATGATTTGCCACTGAGCTGCTACATCCCCAGCCCTTTTTTTAAAACTTGATTTTATTTTTTTGAATACACGACAGCGGAATGCATTATAATTCTATTACACATATAGAACACAATTTTTCATATCTTTTATATAAAGTATGTTCACGCCAATTCATGTCTTTATAATGTACTGGTTTTTTGCATTACAATTCTTATTACACTTATATACCACAATTTTTCTTATTTCTGTTTGTATATAAAGTATGTTGACACCCAATTCATGTCTTTATACATGTATTTTGTATAATTCTTTATTTTGAGACAGCTCTCACTAAATTGCTTGGAGCCTCAGTAAGTTGCTGAGGCTGGACTCAATCTTGGAATCCTTCTGCCTCAGCCTCCTGTAGGGATTACAGGCGTGAGTCACCACACCTGGCTTCCTTTATGTTTCATAGCAGCTTTTTGAAGCAAGTCTTAGTTTCTGGCAGCTTTAGAATGAGTGTAACCAAGTTTTGGAAAGTTAATTAACATGTCTAAATTCCCTGAGATGGTAAGTGGCAGAGATAGGATTCGAACCAAGGTGTGTCTTGGCCTAACATCTAAGTCATAGTCACTGGTTCAGCCACTTCTTGCAGTTTTAAGCCCACTCAGTCCTTACCTTAGTGTAGTGAAAAGACTCCAGTGCCAGCAGTAGCATTTCTTGGCTGTGTGACATTGAGCAAATCACTTAACCTCTCTGAACCTCATTGAGCCTTCACTAACCAGCAAAAGAGAGGTAGTAAACAGGGCTGCTGAAGGTTGAACTGATACCATGTGCCACCTGCAGACAGGGCTCAGTGCCTCTCCTGGCCCGAAGCAGGCCTGCGATGATTGCTACTGATGGGATTATTACTGTGGATTTTATGTGCCCAAGGTTGGCTGTGACCTCGGCAAGTCACTAACCTCCCTAGCCCTGGTCGTTTTCACAGGTGTGTGGCTTGATGAGGTGGGGATAGTCCTTGTCGTCATCCATTCCGCCCCTCCTTCCCCCACAACCTGGCCCATCACCTGGGGCGTTTACCGTTGTTATTTCTCATTCATTGATTTAAAAAGCCGTGGATAGTAAGTGCTCCTCTATTTAGTCACTAATGAGACCTTTTCAATGAGAGGGTGACATGCCATCAACTGTAAGACGCATGCCCCCTTTAGAGCTGTGACTGCGGGGAAATGTGCATTTCCGGAGGCGCTGGGCGGCGGACCTGGGAACCTGGGAACCGCCCGGCTCGGCGCACCGACCAGGGGAGGCCACCGGGGGCGGCCGAGGGCGGCAGGGAGCGGTCCCCCGTCCCCGGGCTGCGGCGTAGCGCCGCTCCCTTGCCGGCCCCCTCCCACAGTCGATGGTCAGGAACCAGCGGACCTCGCTCCTGGAGATGCGCCAGCACAAGTTCTTCCTCGGCAAGCTGTGCGACAAGCTGGCGAGGGCCATCCAGGACACCGAGGACAGCACGGCCCTGCGCGTGCGGGCGATGCTGCAGCAGCAGGACACCCTGACGGTGAGCCCGCCCGCCGCGCCCTCGCCTGGTCCCCCGGGCCCTTTACAGGCCGCTTTCTGCATCCAGATGGCGCCTCTTACACGCTTGGCCCCACCCGCCCGGGCTTTGGAATCCCAGAGGCCCCGTCCCAGGGCCAGCCCGAGCTTACTACTAGCTGACCCGTTGGGCAGGGCATAACCCAAAGCGGGTTGCAGCTGGCGCACGTGGTACCCGTGCAAAAGAAGGGAGCGCCACCATTATTCACCACCAACAGGCGACTGCCCTGTGGGGTGGGCGCTATTATTATCCCATTTTATGAAAGACCAAATGGAAAGGCAGAAAGACTGGGTCGCTGGCTCTAGGTCACCCAGCCACCAAGGGGCAGAGTTGGAATTGGAACCCAGGCACTCTGGCACCCCCATCTGGGCCCTTCCCATCCTGCTATTGTGAGCACCCTCTGCCCAGTGGTGGCACTTGAGGCCTGTGGGTGAAGAATGACCCGTGGAGAACCCAGGGAGCTTCCCCAGCCTCCTCTAGGAGAGGTGGGTGACACTGTAGCGTAGGGCAGGAGGAGAGATAGAGAAAATGGTTGAATGGACTGATGTCCCTCAACTGTAGTCTGTCTCCCCAGGGAGGAGGGGAACTAAGCACATCCAGAGTCTGAGAGAGAAAGAAAGTTCAGACTTCTTGGGGACCCTGCTGGTCGTTGGGACTGTCTGATGAGATTCTGTAGACCACCAGTTTACTTTCTCACAGATCTGGAGGCTGGGAGTTCAGAACCCAGGGGCCAGCAGGTGCGGTCCCCTGCTTCACCTGGACTGGAGGTGAACCCAGGGGTGCTCCATCACTGAACTAGATCCCCAGCCCTTTTCATTTTTTAATTTGAACAGTCTTGCCAAGTTGCCTAGACTGGCCTTGAATTTGCCATCCTCCTGGCTCAGCCTCCCACGTAGCTGGGATTCCAGGCGCGCGTTCCCATGCCCAGCTGACAGGGCTGGCTTCTGGCGCAGCCCCTCTTCCTGGTTTGCAGGTGGCGGTCTTGTTGCTGTGCCCTCCTTTCCTCTGTGTGCAGGGAGAGCGAGCACTAAGGTTTCTCTCCTGATAAGGACACCAGACCTGTCGGATGAGGGCCTTTGTGACCTGGTTGAGCTTTAATTACTTCCTGAAAGGCCCTGTCCTGTCTCCAAATATAGTCATTTGGCTGGGGTTCTAATCTGTGAATTTTGGGGGTAAACAGTTCAGCTTATAACAGGGACCAAGGCCAGGGACGTACAGTTATAAGGACACTTGGTAGAACCTTCTTCAGACCTTCCTCGGCTGGTCCGCTTGTGCATCTTTTGTTCATCCTGGATGGTCCCGTGGCTCCTTGGGAATGGCCGACGGGAGACACCCTGTCTACATCAAGCTCTTCCTTCCACTGGGGTCCCAGGCAGTTAGAAAGCCTGGAAAGTAAGAGGTAGGGGACTGCGGAACCCCGAGAGGGCCACTGACCTCATGTTCATGGGAACATGAGGGAGACTTCTCACAGAAAGGATTCCTGAGCTAAAATCTGCAATACAGGTGTGAACTGGGGGAGACCAGGTACGTGCTGCAGGCACAGGAAAGAGACCTGGGAGGAGAGGGATCGGAACTGGCCCAGGAGCCATGTCAGGTGGTTGACAGTAGGTGCCAGGAAGAAATCTCAGGAGATGAGGTGGGTCCAGGCCAGATCCTGGAGGGCCCTGTCAGTCAAGGAGTCTGTGGGGGGTGGGTAGGAGCTGTTCTCCAGCCTCTGGTCAGGTTGCTGGGCCTGGAGAGCCACTGGGAACTTCCCTGAGGAAGTGCCGGATGGCTGCAGCCTGCCATGAGCCTGAGCCAGCAGAGGTGGGGGTGGGGGTGTGGGGGTGTGAGCTGACCCCACCCCACCACTCCCACAGAACATCATCGACATCCTGGAGTACTCCAACAAGAAGAGGATACAGCAATTGCAGTCTGAGCTCCAGGAGTGGGAAGATAAGGAGGAAAGCAAGATAAACTGTAAGAAGCGTTGGGACCAACGCCTTGTGCTCACCCCTGACCCCTTGGGGAGGACAGCTGGGGCATTCACCTGCACCCGCCTTTCAGAAGTCACCGGGCCCGCCCCTCCCTCCTAGGCCCATGGAGTTAGATAGCTTGCTATCCAGCTCTTAGCACTTGCTAGGCCTCGTGTGCATTTTTCTGGGTGCACTCTCACACGGCCACTATAACCACCTGCAGAATGGGCTGCGTTCCCATTTTACAGATGAAGAAACTGCAGCTAAGGAAGGCAGAGTAGCCTGCTGAAGGTCACACAGTGGGGAGCCAGAACCCAGTTCTAGCCTGGCTCGCTCTATAAGGTCCCTCTGGGAGCCAGTGGCTGGGCTAGGACCCAGGTCTCCTGGCTTCCAACTCGCAGGGCTTTGAGCGGCCTAGAGGGGTCAGGGAGCAGTGTACCACGTAGGCTTAGACTTGGGGGGACCCCTCCACAGAGGAAGCAGGACAGAGCACTGGAGACTGTGTCCTGGGAGCCAGCGTGTCCCTGTCTCCCTGGTCTCGGCTCCTTGGGAGCATATCTGAGGAGGTTGAAGTTCAGGGAGGAATGAGCTTGGGGGTGCCATGCCCGGCCAGCAGGGCTGGACTGCTCTAGGGATTTTTGGTACAAGGGATTGAACTCAGGAGCTCACCCACGGAGCCACATCCCCAGCCCTATTTTGTATTTTATTTAGAGACAGGGTCTCACTGAGTTGCCTAAAGACCCACTTTTGCTGAGGCTGGCTTTGAACTTGCAATCCTCCTGCCTCAGCCTCCCCAGCTGCTGGGATTACAGGCGAGATCACTGTCCCCTGCTGGTCTAGGGATCTGCAGCCTTTTAGCTTCTCTGTCAGCGTTGCCTGTCCCCCGCAGGCCTGGGTCACTCTCTAGGGACATGACTTTTCACCTCTTCCCAGGCTGTGTGAGCTCCTCTCAGTGCAGACCCCAGCCTATTGGCCAGGGGGCTCCTGGGCCTCCTGGGTGAGACCTTTGAGGGAAGGCCCTGCCTCCTGCCCCTCTGACCTTCCTCTCCACCCCTCCCAGGCCTGGAGCTGCAGGTGGAGCAGCTGAACGCCAAAGTCGAAAAGACCCAGGAGGAGGTGAACTTCCTGAGCACGTACATGGACCACGAGTACCCGGTCAGGTCTGTCCAGATCGCCAACCTTGCGCGCCAGCTTCAGCAGGCCAAAGACGACCAGCAGGTGGGGAGAGCCCCTGGCCCGGCTGCGCTGGAGCCTGTGGGAGATGGGGCGGCGGCCAACCCCCTTGTGCTGGCCCCAGGACGAGCTGGATAACCTTGCTGAGATGCGCAGAATGGTCCTGGAGTTGCTATCCACCAAGATTTGGAAGAAGAAGGAAAAAATCCTGAGGTCTCTGGCGATGGTGAGTGGCCAGCTGCTGTGGGGGGTCTCCGGGTCCCACCTCAGCCCTGCCACCTTCCCAGTCCTCTCCTCCAGTACCCCCGTCCCCCAGCCCAGCGCAGCTGCCCTGGAAGAGGTGCCCAGGGCCCAGGCCTCTCCCTTACCCACAGAGAACCCTGCAGCCTCACGAGGAGGCCCTCCTGCAGAAGACCCAGGACAGCCAGCACAGGCGGAGGTGCAGAGGGACGGTCACGGAGGTGAGTGGACAGGAAGGTGATGGTCCCTCTGAGGGGTGGGGGTCCCCAGAGCCGCCCCCTGCAGCCAGTCCCCGTGCTCACTACCCCCTCAGCGTTTCCTCACCACAGGACACTGCCGCTAGCTGGTGCTCTGGCCCCGTCCTGGACAGGAAGGTCTCCTCTGGAGTCCAGCCCGTCCTGGGGACAAAGCCCACCTCGTGTTCCCAGGTGTCCTTACTCCTGTGCATTCGCCCTTCTCTCCCTGTCACTGGGGGCCACCCGGCCTCTCCCTCCCCCACCCCCCATGCCCCACCTGTCAGTTCATCGACGAGCTGAAGGGGAGACTGCCCGAGCTGAAGGCCGAGGTGGAAGAGCTCCGGGCCCAGAGGCAGGAACCCCGAGAGGTCGTTTTCAAGGGCGTTCTGCTTCGGAGACCCAAGTATGTGGTGCTTGTGCAGCTGGCCGTCTTTGGGGCTCCAGGAGATTCTCTGGTCTTGGGAAACTCAGCCTCGTGTGGATGGCAGGACCCGGCACAGGGAGGGAGAGGCCTGGGTGTCCCCCTTGGCTCTGCCACTGGCCACAGGCCGACAGGACCTTTCCCATGGCGGGGTCTCATTTTCCCAGGGCTGGGCAATCCCTAAGGACCATCTGCTTCCCAGAGTCCAAGTGTCAACCTGGTGGGCTGTCGAAGAAGGCAGAGTTGAGGGGGTGGTTGGTCGTGTCACCACGAGGAGTCACGCTTGTCACTCACCGGGAGGGAGCTGAGGCTGGAGACACAGCCCGAGGAGAGAAGGATGCCCCCCCCCCCCAGTCCTTTCAGGCTTCTTCCCTTCCAGAACCAATTCCCTGCCTGCTCTCTTGGACCAGGCCCTCTGTGGTTGGGCTGGGGGTCCCCCGGCCAGGCTTCTCCAGGTCAGCACGACAGGACTCTGGGTGGTAGAGCTGGTATTGGAGAATTATTTAATTTTCCCTCTTCATCTCTCTGCCTTCATCTCTTCCTCCTCCTGAGTTTATGAAGTGCTAGTGAAGAGCCAGGCACCATGTGAATGAAAGGGACCCTTGGTCCTGCCACCATGGAGTTGAGGAGGGAACCAGACATTAATGGGCAATAAGACACAGATGTAGCCAGGCACAGAGGTGCACACTTGTAATCCCAGTGACTCAGGAGGCTGAGGCAGGAGGATTGCAAGTTCGAAGCCGGCTTCAGCAATTTGGCAAGACCCTCAGCAACTTAGTTAGATCCTGTCTCAAAATTTAAAAACTTAATAAATAAAAAGGACTGGGGATGTGACTCAGTGATAGAGCACCCCTGGGTTCCATCCCCAGTACCAGGTAACACCACCACCAACACCAACAAAAAGACACAGATGGACAGAACTGTCAAGGACAGAAGTCCATGGCCCTGGGAGAGTGTGTCCCATGGTAGTGGGCCTGGGGCCGTCAAGGAAGGTTTCCCTGAGGATGTGACATTGAACCAAGGTCTGAAGTTTGTGTAGAAGCTCACCAGGCGAAGGGCTGGAGAAGAAGCGATTCTTGGTGGTGGTGCTGGGGTCTCTGGGGTGGCACATGTAGGTGCCCACTGCCTTGACCTGGGACCTGCACACATTGAAAGGAGAGTGAGGGGGTGAGGGTGATGTGGGCTAGGGTACCAGGTTTTTGTTTTTTGTTTTTTTTCTGCTGAAGTTTATTTAGAGAATGTGGCTTATATTTCCAGCCACGTTAGAATTAGGCAGATGGAGCTACCTGGCCGTGGTGGAGCTGGACACAGGGTTGGAGGGGAGCCGGTCCTTGTGGGCAGCTTGTTGCTGAGAGGAGAGTGGGCAGCCCTTGCTGTGGGCCCCCCTTGCCAGGCTCACTGTCCAGGTAGACCTACCCCCTCTGCAGGAGCAGAGGACTAAAAGGGGCAAAGAGGCCGAGGGCAGTGCCCCATCCACATCTTCCTGATGGAAGACACCGTCAGGAACGCCCAGCAGCTTTCCCTTCCCGGAGCGTGGGCATGGCGGACTGCCCAGTGGAGATTCTCAAGCTCGAAGAAGCGCAGCCATCACCTGGACACCTGGACATCTTTTTTTTTTTTTTTTGTACTGGAGATTGAACCCAGGGATGCTCTACCACTGAGCTGTGTCCCCAGCCCTTTTATTTTTCCCTTTTGAGACAGGGCCTTACTAAGTGGCCCAGTCTGGCCTTCCATTCTTGCGATCCTCCTCCTCAGCCTCCTGAGTATCCGGGGTTACAGGCAAGCGCCTCTGCACCCGACTCACCCAGAGCTCTTGTTAAAAAGCGGATTCTAAACCAGAAGGCTGCAGTGGGCCCGGGGGGTTCTGTATCACGGAGAAATTCTTGGGTGATGCTGCTGCTGCCCCCAGCCAGTGGGCCACGGGCAAGGCTGTGAGGATCGGGTAGGCACCTCCTGGGCATTTACGCCAGGAGTGCAGCTGGAATTCGGAGTGATGGGGAGAATCTGGGAAGGAGTCAGCAGCTCCGCCCTAGGGGGCCTCCAGCCAGGGCCCAGCAGGCCACGGTTTGTACCTGATGCTCCAAGCAGAGGATCTGTATCCCCAAAGTGTCATTTTAAAAACAGCACGGAGGTTGGAGAAAAGCCAGAGTGGGCGCTGGGAGTCCGGCTGGGTGTGGGTCAGTGGTCCTGGGGAGCACTGGGAGTGGCCTGGCCAAGTGGGTGACAGCGGAGAAGGGAGGACTGGGTGGGTTGCAGAAATGTCTAAGAAGGGAACATCTGTAGGACTGGGGGCATCTGGGAGTGGGAAGTCCAGGGCAGGGAGACACCAGGAATGACCCCCAGGTTCCTGGCTCTTCTAAGAGTGGCTGCTGGTGCTGAATCTGGAGATGAGGAAGGCCAGGGGTGGTCGAGGGATGGAGGCCTCAGGGCAGCCGAGAGGTGACCTGGATGGGACCTGCACGTAGAGCCGTCAAGCGGCAACTGAGTAGATGAGTGTAGACTTCAGGACAGATGTGGGGAGATAGCGATTTGGGTGTTGCCAGGGTAGAGATGCACCTTTTAAAACGATCGGGACAAATTGTCAATATACAGAAAAGCAAAGAGAATGAGACAAAGAATATCCAGCGCCCATCTTGGTTTAGAAATAGTCACATTTTTGCCATGTTAGCCTCGTCTTTATTCTTTCCTTTTAAATTTTGGCTGAAGTATTGTAAATTGCAGACATCCCGACATTTCACACCTAAATGCTTTTGTGTGTGTCAAGGGATGATGGAAACTGAGTGCATGCTCTGCTTGGGAGACAGTGGAGAGAGGACCTGGTCCTGCAGCCTCTTACATGGTCATGTCGGTCCCTGTGACAGGGAATCTGTTGCTGATGGCAACCCCCCTCCCCTGCTGCTTTCATGGGAAGAAGACTGTGTGGCCCCCACTGAACAGTGACTATAGGCTGACACATGATTTGGTCTCATTAAATCCTGTTGCCAATGACTGAGCTTGGACTTACCACCCCCACTTGACAGACGAGGAAACCCAGGATTGCTTGTGGTCTGGCACACAGGTGCTGTCACCTTGGTGCCGACTGAAGGAGCGAGGCTCCTGGGGGAGAAATAGCTCGCTCCAGGTGACCCAGGGCGAGTCCTGACTCCGAAGAGAGCGGTTGTCCTGAGGAACCTCAGCGCATCTGAGCTGAGCTCCTACCTCCTCCTGACCTTGGTCCTCTTTAGTGGAACATTAGTCCTGCCAAACTCATTTCTTCTCCATGTTGACATTTGTGTGTTTGTGTGTGTGTGTGTGTATGTGTGATTGTGCACAGTTGGTCTTGGGGTGCCCCACCCCATTCTGAGGGTTTGCTGTCCCATCCCCCTACTCTGGCCCCCAGTTGCCCCTCCACACTCCTCTTTGCTGCTTCCCTCCAGATGCACCCCAGACATGGACGTGGTCCTCAACCTCCCAGAAGAAGAGCTCCTCTTCTAGAGGATGCAGCGGCCGCCCACCCCTCCCAGCACCTGGAGCCTTGATGGCTTCACTTCCAGCCTGAGTCTCCGTTCAGACGCTGCTCAGAGCCCCTCCTCCTCCTCCTCCCCTCCTTTCCTGTATACAATGATTTCTTTCCCTTCTCTTTCTCTCCCTTTTCTGCAGTGGCCCTGCCCCCCAGGCCAGCTGGGGATTCCTTTCTACCAATAAAGCCCGGTCTGCATTGCTCTGTGCTGGTGTGTGGGGTCCCGGGCCTGCAGAAGGCGGGATAGGGATGGATTTTGCCTTGAGATGAAGGGTGGCCAGCCATGGCGACTGTACAGGGGCTCAGGACTTCTCCAGAAGAAGTGCTGGAGTGACACCCCCCCCCCCGCCCCCGCCAGCGCTGCATCCCCAAGGCTGCCACCTGGTGCAGTGGGAACCTGCTTCCCTTGTAGTTTGTGCCTAGAGCTGCTGGGGACAGTGCCAAGGCAGAGGGGAGGCTCCTTCAGTCAGCACACCTGGGAACTTGTCTACACGGCTGGTGGCCATGCAGTCCAGCCACCTGACTGCCCACTACCTGTGCCCCAACTGCAGAGGGACACAAACCCAAACTCATGCCCAAGGGCAGAGCTCTGTGCCGCTGCAGACTCTGTTGTGGTGGACTTGGAGATGCACGGCCCGGGTCCCCCTTGGAGCAAGCACTTGAAGGTCCTGTTGGCAGGTATCCTAGGCAGCCAGCCAGACCCTCAGGGTCAGATCCTCAGGGACTGTCTCAGCTGCAGAGAGCCACTTGCCCAAGGTCAACCCTTCCCACGTCCAGTGACTGTGCAATGTGCAAGGTCAAAGACCCAGATATCTTAGTCCAGCTTGGAACAACTCGGAGGGGAGAAATCGCTTGCTCAAGGTGACAGAGCAAGGCGTCCTGAGGAACCTCAGGGAATTGAACTCCTGCTCCTCCTTTTTTTTTTTAATATTTATTTTTGGGGCTGGGGATGTGGCTCAAGCGGTAGCGCGCTCGCCTGGCATGCGTGCAGCCCGGGTTTGATCCTCAGCACCACATACCAACAAAGATGTTGTGTCCGCCAAAAACTAAAAAATAAATACTAAAAATTAAAAAAAATTATTTTTTAGTTGTAGTTGGACACAATACCTTTATTTATTTTTATGTGGTGCTGAGGATCGAACCCAGGGCCTCGCACGTGCTAGGCGAATGCTCTACTGCTGAGCCCCAGCCCCAGCCCTCCTGCTCCCTCTTGATCTTAATCCAAATACTTAAATGTCCTCACTCCAGAGCTGCCTGGAGGGTTGGCAGAAGCTGTCCTGGGTCTGTGCTGCTGCCCAGCCTGCATCTTCCCCAGCTGATGCCCAGGGTGCTCAACCACCTGCACCCTCCACTCCATCTCAGAGGACCCAGGTGCCACAACTAGCAGCCTCTGTCCTCTCTCATATCATCTTGTACATTAGGAGACTTGGTTAGAGAGAACAGAACAACTGACTTGGTCTAAATGATGACATAATCAGGCTTTATCCAGAAGTTGAATAATGGCACCAAGGACCCTGTCCAAGGTGTTGTCCTTTTTTTTTAATTTTTTTTTTTGTACTGGGACTTGAACTCAGGGGCACTTGACTACTGAGCCACATCCCCAGCCCTTTTCTGCATTTTGTTGAGAGACAGGGTCTCACTGAGTTGCTTAGCATCTCGCTTTTGCTGAGGCTGGCTTTGAACTTTCGATCCTCCTGCCTCAGCCTATGGAGCTGCTGGGATGACAGGCGTGTACCACCACACCTGGCCCGAAGTGTCCTCCTCCTAAGGTTGGTGCTGCTGGTGGTCCTAGTGTGCCAGCATCTCCTGCAGCTGTGCTGTTCCTTGTTCAGCTCTGCAGGAAGAGAAAGGATGCTCTGCCCCAGACTCCAGCCAACTGCTTCTATTGCATGTCCATCTAGAGAGGGTGGAGAGGGAAGGTCTAGTCCAGGTCCCATGCCCTGGAGGCCAGTAGGCCTTCTCCAGAACCATCCATCTCCAAGCAAATTGACAGTGTTGAACATAATAGCAAATACTTAAATGGAACTGACTCTTCTGTACGTGTATCAACTCATTAAATCCACAAGAGCAACCCTGGGAGACAAGTATTGGTCCCGCTTCTGTTTTTTAAATGAAGAAACCTGAAGAGATGAAGTAAACACACCCCCAAAATCACAACTAGTAAGTGGTGGAGGCAGTTTGCTTTAACTGCTGAGCTGTCAGGAGCTCATGTGAGCTGGAGACTGTCTCTTAACACAAGCGTTCTTGACCATTAGAGTACTGCTGTGGTTTGAATGTTGTCTCCCCCAAATTCATTGAAAATTCATTCCCAAAGTAAAGGGCTTTTGGGGAGTGGTGAAGCTATGAAGGATCTGCTCTTGTGAATGTAAGTAATGCCCTTAGAAAAGGGTTTGAGGGAGCTGGGTATGGTGGGGCACACCGGTAATCCCAGTGACTCAGGAGGCTGAGGCAGAAGGATTGCAAGTTCAAGGCCAGCCTCAGCAACTTAGTGAGGCCTTGTCTCATAAAGATATAATAAATAGTTGGGGGTGTAGCTCAGTGGTAGAGCACCCTTTGGTTCAATCCCCTGGATCAAAAAGCAAAGGGCTCAAGGGGAACAAGTTTGCCCCTATGGTGAGGACAGGGTTTGCCCTTTCTTTCATGAGAGGATGCAGCAAGAAGACACCATGTTGGAGAGCAAGCCTTTATGGCTGCTGAATCTTTGGCAGCAGAGATTCATCGTCAACTTCCTGCCTCCCAGGCCTTCCAGAATTGAGAAATAAATGTCTGTTGTTTATAAATGACTCAGTCTAATTAAAAAAAAAATCAGCTGGGTGCAGTGATGCATGCTTATAATACAGCAGCTCGGGAGGCTGAGGCAGGAGGATTGCAAGTTTGTAGCCAGATTCAGCAAAAGTGCAGTGCTAAGCAACTCTGTGATCCAGTGCCCCTGAGTTCAATCCCTGGTACTTGCAACACTCCTACCTCACCACGACCAAAAAAAATCCACCCTAATGGATCAAGACAGGTCAGCTGAGTACTTCCAAAATCATGAAGTCCTGGTTTCAGGTCGACAGTTCCTCCCTCAATTTCTCTCTCTCCTTCCACATAAAGAAGACAGCAGCCTTCACTTCCAGAACATTTCTTGGAAATCTTCTCATGTGAAATATCCAAGGTCATCACTTATCCCAGTTGTACTTTCCACATAGCAGGACACAGTGCCCTTCAGCTTTCGGCCACTATATCATAACCATCTCTTTTCCTCCTGTTTCCAATAAAACACATCACATTTTTTTTTCTGAGTCCTCCCCAGTAGCATCTTACCATCTCATTTCTACTGTCTGCTCACAACAGTTTAGATATCCTCTAAGGGGACTGAGGTCTCCTCTGCTTTCTCGCTCTTCTGCTTTTTAAGACCAGGCACAATTGCCTTGGGCCCCCAGATAGTCCAGGAGGGTCTCAGTCATCCCACAACAGCCTTGATTTCACCTGCAACCTCAATTTCTCCTTGTCTCAAAGGTCCAGGGATTAGGATGTGAGCATCTTGAGGGGAGCGTTAATCTGCCTGCCACAGCCCTCTGACCATGTCTCGCCTCAAAAGAAGCCCCTCTCCTCCACGCCAGGAGTCTTGTCCCCAAGGCCCTCCTAGGGCTCTGGAAACCTTTGGGGGCCTCCCGGGCCCAGGCTGGGTGGTGCCCTAGACCTTGGGCCAGGTCTGGGACACACCCTCCTTTCCTCTCTTGCTCTGCAGCAACCCAAGTTCCCAGCATCACAGAGACAGGACTTTGCCCCAGATAAATCACATCTAGATGGGCTTGTCAAATGGCGCTTGGTTTTCAGAAGTGCCACTCCCACACACCCTCTCATGGACAGTCAGGGAGCCTGCCTATTTATTATTTTTATTTTTATTTTTTTTGTGGAAACACTGCTGGGGATGGAACCCAGGGCCTTGCACCTGCAAGGCAAGCTCTCTTCCATTGAGTTATACCCCAGCCTCCGAAATACGATTGTGCAAAGCCTCTAACAGGGAGTCATCAGCTTGGGACCAACCTTTGGTCCTTTGGTGGGTGGTAGACACGTAGTTATAGGCTAAATGCAGAAGCTGAAGCTTAAATAAGACACAACGGTGTCTCTATATAAGGCAGCAGGGTTGCAAGACAGTTGTGCCTGGATGCTACTTGTTCTGGCTGAGTATGTCTGCGCTGGCCAATGCAAGCAATGGGAAACAAATGCAGATGGATTGGGGAAAATACCAAGCAACTGATACCATTTGTCTCTGAGTGTCACCTTGAAAGGAAAGCCCAACAGGAGGAAGAGTCTGTGACAAGCTTACACAGGAGGCTTGTCAGGCAGGGTTTTTTTTTTTTAGTCCAAATTAGGATCCCAGATCATGGTGGGGGCCCCAAGAGAGGCTGTTTCATGCACAGCCTTCTGGAGGGGTGGTTTTATCTCAGGAGAAGTCCCATGGGTGGATAGGTGTTGTCATCTCAGGTACCAGGGTCCAGAGTCTAAGTCTTCAGAATCTAGTGGGACCCAGGGCCAGAGGGGCCGGGAGAGTTAGCCTCCTCCAGGATCTTGAGGCAGAGAGCTTGGTTAGGCAGAAGGTCACAATCATGGACACATTGACTCAGCATATTAATGAATTTGTCATTGTTGGGAGGTCATTCCCTTAAGGGGCTCCTGCATTGGGGGGGTGGTTTAGGCACTGCAGTCCAACTTCCAGGTGAGGTGTGGTTTCTGGTGTGGGGAGGAGGAGCCCATCTTCTTGGTTCTAGAGTGTAACCAGCCCAATAAAATCTGTATCAGTGAAGATGAAAGATGAGTGTCCCACGGCCATGTCTGAAGCCAAATGAATCCCAAGAAAGCTAAACATGGTCCACAGTTTATGCGATGACATTTTCATGGTCTTGGCCATTATGGTGGACTTCTTCCTGTTTCCACCATTTTTTTGGGTGCAGAGGGAAAAGGGGGCATGGGGAGTTGTCCCTGGTTCAGCAAGAATATGGATTGGGGTGACATCCCTTTGTGGGGAGGTCCAGGGCTGTGGTATTTGAGGGTATTTCTCATGTGTGTCAGTATCTGTTCCATCTTGTGTGCGTGGCAGGGTACTATGACCTCCCCCTTTTGTGGAAGTTCATCATTGTTATTAGCTAGGAGTTGACCCTGGTACTCACGGAATCATGCAAAGCTTCCGGCTAGGCAATTTGGGATCATTAGGACTCT